CAAGTGTAGTCAAAGATAAGATAAAACCAATATTGCAAACTAGAAATACCGCAGGAATAGCAAACAAGAGGACTCCAATAGCATAGTGAGGATAAATTACCAAAAACAACTGGGGGAGCTCCATTGTTGGTGCTAGGGAGGATAGAAGTAAGACAGGGAAACATGCACCAACAGGGAATACAGTCACAGAAACCCAAGGCAAGCGGAAACCAAGCCTGTGCACATACTATGCACTTGGTATCTGCTGGCATGGGAAATCTGGAAAAACAGATGGGACGTGCAACTATGACCACCCTAGAAAATGCCATGCCCATATGACAACAGGAAAATGCAAACTCCCTTCCTGTAAGCTTTTTCACCTGAAATGTGTACCTCTTCAGTACAGGAAAGACTGTGCTATAACTTAAATTGCCAGGCATACCATCTAAAGGGGACAAAAAGATACAAAACATCCAGGCCATGGGAAAACCTGGGTAGCCACAGCCACTCAGAGGGAGAGGTTTTTTATGTGCCAGGAAGGAAAAAAAACTGGCAGGAAATGGCAGAATCGTACACCAAATCCAGTCATTCCTGGAGTGGAACCACAGTCGATGGCCTCCACTCCAAACCAACAGATACAGATACTAATGCCGGAAAAAAAAATCCCCCCCCAGTACCAACAATACCACCAGTCCGATAACATTCTTCTTTGCAAATATACAGGGTCTAAAGCCAGCAACAAACAACAAAATACCTTTCATCCGTGGACTGCTTGCAGAGGCAAAGGCAATGTTCGCGGCTTTCACTGAGACCCACATAAAGGATCACTTGGACAATGAAATATGGATCCCAGGTTACAACCTATACAGATGTGACAGAGTGAACAGGAAAAAGGGGGGGGTTGGCCTGTACATTGCAGAGTCACTTGTTTGCACAGAACTGCTTAATGCCTCAAATGACGTAGTGGAAGGTTTTAGCAGTAAAGGTCGAGAACCAAAACCTAGTCATTGTGGTAGTCTACAAGCCTCCGGATGCAAATCCCAGCAATTCCAGGAACAGCTGTTAAAAATTGACCACTGTCTGGAAAATCTTCCAGCTCCTGCACCCAACATCTTGCTCCTGGGGGATTTCAACTTAAGGCACCTAAAATGGAGGAATATAGCAAATAATATTGTTGCAGTAATAACACCAGGAGGCAGCTCTGATGAAAAACTCACACTCACACGAGCTTTTAAATCTCTGCACAAAATTCATTTAAACCAGCAATAATAGAGCCTACTAGACTGGAGAATACACTAGACCTCATATTCACTAACAATGATGATCTGATAGAAATGTCACCATATCAAAAACAATATACTCAGATCACAACATAATTGAGGTTCAGACATGTATGCGAGGAGCCCCAGACCGACAAAATGAGACTAGTCACGAGGAGCATCACCAAATTCAACTTCAATAACAAAAACATAAAGTGGGACCAAGTAAACCAAGTCCTAACGATATAAGCTGGGAAGATATACTAAGCAACACAGACCCAAACTTATGCCTAGAACAGATTAACTTGGTGGACTCGATGTATGCACAAGGCTTATTCCTCTAAGAAAAAGGAGGAGTAGATGTAAAATAGAAAGAGACAGGCGCTCCCTTTACAGGCGACGGAAAAAAGAATAACAGAGCGGCTAAAAGAAGTCAATATATCTGAAATGCCAGGGAGACACTGGTCAGAGAAATAGCAAGCATCGAACTTAAGCTAAAAGAATCCTTTAGGAGTCAGGAATCGCGGAAGAACTAAAAGCTATAAATGAAATCGAAAGAAACCCAAAGTATTTCTTTCCTATGCCAAATCAAAATCGAGAACAACGCCCAGTATTGGGCCCCTACTTAAACAAGATGGGTCCTACACAGATGACAGCAAGGAAATGAGTGAGCTATCAAGTCCCAATATGACTCAGTTTTTAGCAAGCCGCTAACCAGACTGGCGAGTCGAAGATCAAAATGAATTTTTTATGAGAGAGCCACAAAATTTGATTAACACAAGCCTATCGATGTTATCCTGACGCCAAATGACTTCGAACAGGCGATAAATGACATGCCCATGCACTCTGCCCAGGGCCAGACTCATGGAACTCTGTGTTCATCAAGAACTGCAAGAAGCCCTATCACGAGCCTTTTCCATCCTATGGAGAGGGAGCATGGACACGGGGGTCGTCCCTCAGTTACTAAAACAACAGACATAGCCCCACTCCACAAAGGGGGCAGTAAAGCAACAGCAAAGAACTACAGACCAATAGCACTAACATCCCATATCATAAAAATCTTTGAAAGGGTCCTAAGAAGCAAGATCACCACCCATCTAGAAACCCATCAGTTACACAACCCAGGGCAACATGGGTTTAGAACAGGTCGCTCCTGTCTGTCTCAGCTACTGGATCACTACGACAAGGTCCTAAATGCACTAGAAGACAAAAAGAATGCAGATGTAATATATACAGACTTTGCAAAAGCCTTCGACAAGTGTGACCATGGCGTAATAGCGCACAAAATGCGCGCTAAAGGAATAACAGGAAAAGTCGGTCGATGGATCTATAATTTCCTCACTAACAGAACACAGAGAGTAGTCGTCAACAGAGTAAAGTCCGAGGCAGCTACGGTGAAAAGCTCTGTTCCACAAGGCACAGTACTAGCTCCCATCTTGTTCCTCATCCTCATATCCGACATAGACAAGGATGTCAGCCACAGCACCGTGTCTTCCTTTGCAGATGACCCCCGAATCTGCATGACAGTGTCTTCCATTGCAGACACTGCAAGGCTCCAGGCAGACATCAACCAAATCTTTCAGTGGGCTGCAGAAAACAATATGAAGTTCAACGATGAGAAATTTCAATTACTCAGATATGGTAAACATGAGGAAATTAAATCTTCATCAGAGTACAAAACAAATTCTGGCCACGAAATAGAGCGAAACACCAACGTCAAAGACCTGGGAGTGATTATGTCGGAGGATCTCACCTTCAAGGACCAAAAACATTGTATCAATCGCATCTGCTAGAAAAATGACAGGATGGATAATGAAAACCCTTCAAAACTAGGAGGCCAAGCCCATGATGACACTCTTCAGGTCACTTGTTCTATCTAGGCTGGAATATTGCTGCACTCTAACAGCACCTTTCAAGGCAGGTGAAATTGCTGACCTAGAAAATGTACAGAGAACTTTCACGGCGCGCATAACGGAGATAAAACACCTCAATTACGGGGAGCGCTTGAGGTTTCTAAACCTGTATTCCCTGGAACGCAGGAGGGAGAGATACATGATTATATACACCTGGAAAATCCTAGAGGGACTAGTACCGAACTTGCACATGAAAATCACTCACTAACGAAAGCAAAAGACTTGGCAGACGATGCACCATCCCCCCAATGAAAAGCAGGGGTGTCACTAGCACGTTAAGAGACCATACAATAAGTGTCAGGGGCCCGAGACTGTTCAACTGCCTCCCAGCACACATAAGGGGGATTACCAACAGACCCCTGGCAGTCTTCAAGCTGGCACTGGACAAGCACCTAAAGTCAGTTCCTGATCAGCCGGGCTGTGGCTCGTACGTTGGTTTGCGTGCAGCCAGCAGCAACAGCCTGGTTGATCAGGCGCTGATCCACCAGGAGGCCTGGTCACAGACCGGGCCGCGGGGGCGTTGACCCCCGAAACTCTCTCCAGGTAAACTCCAGGTAAAGCTACCCAAGAATTTGCTGCAGTATCTCAGGCACTAATCAAACCCAGCTCTTGTCACTCACATATTTGTCCAATTTCTTTTTAAAGCTACCCGAAGTCTTAGCCTCTACTACCCTACTCGGCAGATTGTTCCATGCATTGACAACTCTGAAAACCCATACAGATACTCCTTACTTAATGACTGAGTTCTGTTCCTCAGAGTAGGTTGGTAAGCAAATTGGTTGTTAACCCCTCAACTGTCCAAATGTAGATCTACATTCTTACTGCTAGCGCTTCAAACATAGATCAACATTTTATTTTTTCTGCCTCCAAATTTGGCACAATTGGCCTGAGATACCTGGTCAGTATAGAAGTGGAGGGCTAGCTGTATATGCATTTTGTCACTCCAGGGCTCTTTAAATGTCATAGTATATTGCATGTGGGTAGGGTGGCCAGGCGGACTACCATACCTACCACACCTGACTTTATAATAAATACTACTCACTTCTCACCCTACATTGAGACTACAAATATTTTGAAGTAAGTAATGAGTGTACTGTGTCTGTATTTTACTTTTCATTGTTTTTTTTTTTTTGCCTAGTTCTATTGCTAACTTAATATAAGTTAGTGTAAACTTGTTATCTGGCATTTATAAGTGGAAAAAAATGGTGTTCTGCTTCCTGGCAATGTTCGCTTTCCAGTAGTAGCCTGGAACCTAACCTGTCATATAAGTGGGGCCCTACTGTGCTGATCACCTGTATATGGTGCTGGAACATCATATACACTTTTTTGGGTTATCCTAGGTAATCTACACATGTGCTGCTATTTATGAAAATTTATGTAACTATTTATGTGTACCTATACCTGAATAAACATACTTACATTTGTTTAATATTCATATATATTTTACTGTGAAAATAATTTTTTCATAGATACATATATGCAGTCATTCTAGATGTAAGTTACGTTTAAGACTGCCCCAAAAGTTTTGCATAACAAAGGTTTTTTCATGTGAGATGTAATGTCATCTAATTTTGTACAAATGATGTATCATGTGTAAATAAATTGAGTTGATTTAATAGATGTTACCATAAGAGTTAATTTAATAAATGTTACCATAAGAGTTAATTTAATAAATGTTACCATAAGAGTTAATTTAATAAATGTTACCATAAGAGTTAATTTAATAAACATCTGAGAAAAGTTGATTTAATAAACATTAGTAAAAGAGTTTATTGGTAACCTAGATGCATGACTGATAGAAGTGAACTCTTGTATACTTTCAGATGATTTTCTACTTTTATCATCTATGTTACTTGCAGATGCAAGTATCCTTGCAGTAGAGAATGCCCTCCGTGTCAAGAAGATTGCCAGTGGCGTTGTAGCCACAGTCGTTGTCGAAAAAAGTGTGGCGTGCCTTGTCTATCTTGCAAGGTGAGAAATCTGATGTTTATGCAATATAAGCATTCATTTGTGTATTTTCAATACATTATTAGTTATTTGTTGTTTGTTGTTCCACCATAAAGTGTTGGTGTAACTAAATTTTAGCGGGAGTTAATTCTTGGGTTGGGTAAAGGTCGTTTTGATAAGGACCTACCTTGTACGGGCCAGTAGGCCTTCTGCAGTGTTCCTCCATTCTTATGTTCTTATGTTCTAGATGAAAATAAAAAAGCTTTCTTGGTAAACTGATTAGTAATAATGATATGGAACTTTCTTTTATTCTTGAACTCCTGTTCTTTCAAGAAATTCACAAGTGCTCACACACCAAGTCATAAATGTAACAACAATGATGATAAAATACCAAACTTTATATTCAAGAGTGACAGTATGATCATCAGGATTATAAGCTCTGGTTAAGAGATGTGCTTTCAACTGTATATAAAAGCATGAACAAATTCTTCATTCTTAACTGATACTGGCAACCTATTATATAATTTAAGAAGTACCTAAGAATAGGCTCTCTTTAAATAATTTCTCTCTGATAGCATGAGACTCAATCAGTTTAAAATCCATTAAATTCAGTCAGCCCATAATGCCTAGGCATAATAGAGGCTCTCTTTGCACTGCAACCCATTATTGTAAAAATATAATCTCAGTGTACTACTTGCAAAGAAATAAATGAATTTGAATTCGAATTTTGAATTTGAACGGGCTGGCAGCCATTCACAGAAACAATCAAGAGCTCTTTGTAAAAGTTACAAGCATATTTGCTCTTTAAACTTTATGACTTTAAATGTTAATAAACAAGAATTTAAATTCAGTTCTTGCTGGCGACATTGCAGACCTGGAGAGTGTACAAAGAACTTTCATGGCACACATAAGTGCGATAAGGCACCTAAACTTCTGGCTACGGTTGAAGGTCCTTGATCTGTATTCCCTCGAATGCAGGCGAGAGAGATATTTATTTATTTATTTATTTATTTATTTATTTTATATCTTTGCAAGCAGTACATTGAGATTTTGTATTTACAATAGTGGGTTGCAATGCAAAGAGAGCCTCTAGTATGCCTAGGCATTTTGGGCCTACTTAACATTATTGGCTTACAGACTACTTAACACTAAGGATTATATCATAGTTGTACAGTAGGATAGTAATTATTTCATAGTTGTACAGTAGATTATTAATTATAAGTGAATCAAAATTTGTATAAGACAAAAGATATATTCATATAATCAAAAGTGCTTTTTGTGAAAACAAAGATTTAATTATATTCCTGTCAACAATGGATAAAAGGTTCAAATTGATTGTTGAAGTTATGATGTAGGAGTACATAAGTTAGTATGTGTGTACTGAGTATTTAGCATTTAGTCTAGGGTGATTAAGTGGTTTTTGAGAAGAGTCTTAAATTGATTTTCTGACCAGGTTACTTTAATATCTTCTGGTAATGAATTCCATATTTTGGGACCCTTTATGTGCATAGTTTTTACACAGTGTGATATGGACACGAGGTATATCAAAAAGAGATCTATGTCTTGTGTTGTGGTCATGTGTCCTGTTTAGGTTGGCGAGGAGAAGTTTGAGTGGAGGGTTTATATTTGCGTGTATTGTTCTGTGTATGTAGTAGGTGCATGAATAAGTATGGATGTTCTTAATAGTGAGCAGATTCAGACTTTTGAAAATTGATGGAGTATGCTGGCAGGAGTGGGAATTTGTCATCATTCTTACTGCTGCCTTTTGCTGGGTTATTAGGGGTTTTTGGTGATTGGATGTTGTTGATCCCCATGCACAAATTCCATATGTAAGATAAGGGTATGTGAGTGAATGATACAGTGCCAGGAGAGCTGATTGTGGAACGTAGTACCTTATCTTTGATAGTATGCCTACAGGCTTGGAGATTTTCTTGGTGATTTGTTGTATGTGTGTCTGGAACTTAAGGCTACTGTCAAGGTGGATACCTAGGAATTTTCCCTCTGTGAGTCTTGTGACTGATGATCCGTTTAGCGTTATGTTTAATAGTAAGTAAGTAAGTAAGTAAGTTTATTCAGGTATACACAAATACAGTTACATAAAATTATCATACATAGCAGCATATGTGTAGAGAACCTAGGATAACCCAAAAAAGTCAGACAGAGTGACTTATTTCCATTGGGGTCCTTTGCAGCTTTGTTTCCAAACTGAATGAAATAGGTTTTATCAGTATTCAGGGTAAGTTTATTAGTCATCATCCAGGCAGATATTTGCTGCATTTCGGCATTGACTGTGTTTGCTAGTATGACTGTGTTTGGGTGGGAAAACACACATGTAGTGTCATCTGCAAATAATATGGGTTTGAGTAGCTGTGATGCATTCGGTAGATCATTGATGTAGATGAGAAAGAGGAGTGGTCCAAGGACACTCCCTTGTGGGATTCCTACTGTGATTGTTTGGGTGGAAGAGTTTGCATCATTTGCATACACATATTGAGTTCTGTTACTAAGGTATGATTTTTAGGTAGTTGAGGGAGTGACCTCTGATACCATAGTGCGTTAATTTGGAGTACAGCAGTTCATGGTCGACTGTATCGAAAGCTTTACGTAAATCAATGAAAATGCCCAGTGGGACTTCTTTCTTTTCTAGTGCAGTATATATTAGTTCAAGCATGTGTATGATAGCATCATTTGTGCTTTTATTATTCCTGAATCCAAACTGACAAGGGTTTAATAGGTTGTGTGAGATGAGGTAGGAATAGATCAATCTATGAATTAATTTTTCAAAGATTTTAGAGAGCAGTGGTAAGTTAGATATTGGTCTATAGTTATTCAAGTCAGCTTGGTCACCTCCTTTGTGGATCGGAGTGACCCTCGCTATTTTGAGGATTGTTGGGAAGGTAGATGATTCAATGGATTTGTTAAAGAGTGTTGCAATAATTGGTGACAATACTTGAGAAGCTTTTTTTGTTCATAAAAGCAGGCAAGTTGTTTATGTCTCCTGCCTTGTTCTTAAGGGTGTTTATGATGAGCGTAACTTCTATGGGGTTGGTTGGAGCTAGGAATAGTGTATATAGGTAGGCATCTATGAGGTAGTCTGATGGATGGGTGTTTGCGCTTGATATTTTGTTCACTAGATTTTTTTCCTATGGTGGAGAAGAAAACATTAAGTCTGTTCACTGTTTCAGTAGGTGTCCTATTAACCCTTTGACTGTTGCAACCCCCAATCCTGAGGTGTTTCCTGGTTTTGCAAAATTTAAAAAAAAAAAATTATTTTTTCTTATGAAATGATAGAGAATCTTTTCCCGATTGTAATAACATAAAAAAAAAACGAGATTTGATGGAAAACTGACAGAATTACTCTCTCGCAAAGTTAGCGACCTCAGCGATATTTACAAATTGGCGATTTCACCCTTTGAGCCCTATTTTTGGCTAATTCCATTGTTCCAGTCGACCAAACTCATAGCTATTGCTTTAAAACTCCATTTTTTCTATGGATTGAGTACAAGAAACTGCCCATTTACTGATTTCAACTGCCCAATAACGTGGTCAGAAATTTGCAATTTGGCCAATTTCACGAAAATTAAAAAAATGACAATTTCAAAATAAGGTCCAGAATAAACGATGCAGACATTCCTGGCTCTAAAATAACATTTTCTTTGTTCATCAGTCATGTCTCCAGGCCCCTCTGATATTACTCTTGCTTTCTATTATGAATTTTTATTCAGATAAAAAATAGAGGATTTACTGTTATGCAGACTACTGCAATGCTGTAATAATTGTACAAAAAATGTCAGCCCATTCATGACTGCATATTAGAATGGCTAGTTGGACATTTATTGGACAAAGACATCATTTGTTTACTTTTGAACATTGGCAAAAATCAAACATTTTCCCTACTTTGAGCTCCATTTCCAGGTTCTTTTTATAGTAAAACCAATCAAGATCACCTCTATTTCTATAACATGTTTCCCATTCTATCAAATGAGACCAAGGAAACGAGAATACAATTATAAATGCTATACGAAAATAGACCACAAAGTCGGCATTTTAATTAAAAAAAACGGTCGGAGTTTTTTTTCTCATTTTGCACTGTGTGCTCCAGGATTTTTTTTATATGGTGCACACTGACCACACAGACCCATTCTCTCACATGTGGGCCTATCAGCTTTCTCCTGCTTGATTTGAAGTCGCTAGAATTTATGAGTATATATACAGTGGAATCTCTACTTGCGAGTTTAATCCATTCCATGACCTTGCTCGCAACTGGATTTGCTCATTTGCAGAGGGCAGCCTGTAGGTCCTGTATGTCCTGAGGAAGGCGGGCTGTCACTGCCCCTGAGGTGATGAGTTCCACTAGCCTCTCCGCCTCCCCAGCTGGGTCATGGTAAAAGCGCGCCACACCTCTGCATTTTCCAGTGGCATGCCGCACTACCTCCCTCAGCATCCAAAGGGACTTTGCCATAGGATTCCACCTGTGCAACCTGTGGGTGCAATTGAGACAGTTATTCTGTTTCTTAATGGACTCGTCGTAGAACCACCAATCATGCTTGGCCATGCCCCCAACCTGGGTGAGTGGTATTGCCACCTCAGCTGCTCAGATGAAGGCTGCTTGAAGGCTCTGGACAGTAGGTTTCCTCCCACCATTGCTGTATGACATCCTGGAAGCACTGCCAGTCAGCCTTCTTGGTTTTCCACCACAGTGGTGGGGAGTATGGAGGGTGCTGTGGGAGCGACAGAGTGGTGACAATTGCAAAGTGGTCGCTGGTGAGAAGAGGGTGGATTTCCCAACTCACTCCAGGCTGTAGCCTCTGGGAGAGGAGTGTGACATCCAGTCGGTTGCCAAAGTGGTGGGTCAGCTCTTGGTTGTTGAGGGCGATCTCAGGGATGTCCTCCAGCACTGCCGCCAGGTGCCTGCCCACCTCATTTGTGCAAGTGATGGAACATAGGAGCTCGTGGTGGACATTGATATCCCCTGCTACCAGCAGACCTTTGAGGGGAGACATGGGAAGGGCTGCCACTTCTGA